TTTTTATCATATTATGTCTTTTTGCTGGTTTGCTGATATCTCCATTTATATTATCATTACCTAGTGTAACAAATAAAACTCAAGTTTTGTAGTTCGGAAACGTATTTCAAGAAGTTATCGAACCAACAACACTAACGAATGGTTAAAGCCATAAATCTATCCGACTAGTCTACACAAGTCGGGTGCAAAATCTCAATTGAAACTTCAATTAATGTGTTAATGAATTCAAGAAAGCCTAAATGAAATACAATGTCTATAGTCTCAGAAGACTAATCGTCAGCTTACTCCCGCTACCATCAGTTTATAACACAATTGTTACGAACAATGGTCCGAACTGCGCACAATGCCGACCGTTCCACAACAACTCAATGGCCAAGCAGTCCCTCGGCGGAAAAAGTCAGCGAAATAACCCGATAAGAATGATTAATTGGTTAAAGGCGAAATCAATGAAACTTGGGACGGGAACGTTTAAGCCATTTTTCTTTACATTCAATGGATCAGTTCTGATTGAATTAAATCGCTCCTATAGCGTTAATAGTTTGCCGAAATAAGTTTATAGTACAGATTTCACCCGCGACTCCGTCCGTCAGGAATTAAAAAAAAAGTTAACTAGTAGCTTATGTGTTCCTCCAGACTTTATGTATGCCAAGGTTCAGCGAGATCCACTCAGCCGTTTAGGCTATAAATTCTACCATAATATAGTATGAAGAAAAATGTAATGCAGGTTCGTATTACATTAGTAGCTTGCCTTAAAATGTTTATTACTGTCACTTGAGAAAAGTACCTTAACTGAATAAAATAATTCATACTAATAATATAAATGCGAAAGTTTAGACGGATGGATGGATGGATGGATGTTTGTCAGAGTTTGTAGCCTAAACGGCTAAACAGATTTTTTTATAACATAAGATGGCAAACGAGCAAGCGGCCACCTGAATCCGCCAAATTGGCGAAGCGACCGCTACCGCTATCTGCAATTGCAGATGCGTCGCCTACCCTTATCCGACGGAGGAGGAGACGCACATAAAGAGAATATTTCCTCTTCCTATGCATCTCCTCCATCGTCAAATCCACTTCCCCTTTCCATCCTCTCATAAGAAAAGGGTGGTAAAGAGAGAGTAGCCGGCGAAAGCTAGTAAACAATATTTCATTGAATAGTGGACATAAAATGTAACGCTATTGAAATACAATATTGTTTATAGCTTTGTAATATTATACTGTGATGTTTAATTAATGTTGAGTGTGACTGTCGTGACGTCACAGGCTAGTCGAAGAATTGAATAACCATCGTATCGCGGTCATCAATTAGTTATCCGATATCACTGTAATTGCTACGTCCTCAAACAATACCACATATGGCATTTTAATTATAAACTAACAATCATTACAGATTATATCCATAATATTTTATGGTATTTTGATTAGTTAGAATTAAATTTAACAACAATAAGTGGTGTTGTTAAGTGTGATTGGGTTTTTTATCATGTACTATGAATATTCCTATGCGTTTGCGGTTAAAATATTCAAATACTAGATTTTGCCCGCGACTCCGTTCGCGTGATATTAAAAGAAAAACAAAAGTGAGTAGCCTATGTGTTCTTCCAGACTGTTCTCTACACCTGTGCCAAATTTTATCGAAATCCATTCAGCCGTTTAGGCTACAAATTCTAAACAAAAATCCCTCCATCCATCTAAACTTTCGCATTTATAATATTGGTATAATAAGTAAGATATCTCGTATAATTACTGGTCTTCTAAAGCTCCAAGTTAACCAATTCCAAGGTCTCTTATAAAAGGTGTATTTCTTTATATAAACCGTACAAGTCCTTGCATGAAGAAGCAAATTAAGAAATCATTTGTAATGCCCCTTCAAAACCGTAAAGCTCGTGTTTCTTTCAAACAAGCGAGTGACAAAACGCCGCTGAAAGCTCGTAAGGCGGCCTATGATTTGTGAGTGCGCATGTTTCCAGTTACACGCAATAAATTAAGCGGGTATAGAAAATAAATGCGTCAATGTAGCCCGCCGTACCGTAGTGATGTTCGTTTGATTTATCGATATGTCGGATGTGATGTTAATTTATTTATGCATGAACCGCACGACAAGGATATGTCGACATCTCATCACATGTTCAATGTTTACACGCTATAATTCATGCAATGCGAACTATAATTAATACAATGATTTGTTAACTTTAAGATCTATTTACAGATAACGAAAGACAATTCAAATACCTGCAGTGTAACAGTATGTCGCTACAGGCTTTAAAGATGTACTTTCTGTTTGTTTTGAGACGGAAATAGTATTTTATACAATGTCTTAACATAAAGGTATATTTATTATGTATTAAGGTTATCTAATAACGTTTATAAGGTTTAACAATTTAACAATTGCAATTTAAAAAAAAAATTAAAAAAAACAAAGACGGATTGTCATAACAAACAATTTAAATCATAATGTTTGTTAATTCTATATACAAAAAAACAAATTGTTTCCATTATCAAAGTTAATTGTGCATATTTTAATATTCAGTCACTTATTGATTTTTCCGTTTCGCAATTGCACAAGTACTGCAATATTTAAAAAAAGTCATAAGTATCCTACATTGTTAGTGTATATTTTATAAGGAATCAATAACGCTTTTATTTTATTTTATTATGCGATTTTTATCGATAACACAGGCAGCACCGCCCAACTGGTGAGGTCTGTGTTGAATGGATCGCAAATTGATATAGAAACGCAAGGCGTTCCCTTCGATTTATTTAGGAATTTTAGCGTATTCATGTCATGCGCCCTTAAATTGTACCATTCTATTCTGCCTAATGACGAATCAAATGCGGCAAGACCCGCTTGTTTGTCTGACCCCTTTTAAATATCCCCGTTTATGGAAAATATGAAATTTAAACTTAGAGTCTATACAAATGCTTTGAAATCATCTTTTAACATTATAATACTGCTAATCATATAAGAAGTCAAAAAGATTTATAATCGAATGTAACTAGTAAAGAGATATCCTGTTGTTCATACACACACAGCGGCTACCAGCCTCGCGTCATTTAAAAATAAACTTAAGTTTTGGCTAATACAGAAAACCCTCTGCGTGACAAGTGACAAGAATGTTTTTTATAATAATTGCTCTTTGCATAATTTTCGTTCAGAATATATGTAAAATTTCTTTTAACATCACCTGTAATTCACTATTACCAATAAAACATTTGTACTTTTATTTGAAAAAAAGTTAAATTTGTACTTCTAATCTTTTTAAACTCAATATACTACTTATGACAGTATAATATCTCGTCTAACATTGTCTATTTAACGGTAGTACAAGCTAATATATTCCATTGTTATATGTAGTGAAGACTAAAAATTCATTTTAATTGAATGCATTATATCCGACGGCGATAAATCAAATTTTACGGCACCCCTTTTACGTGGCCTTAATTGAGTGAATGCAGGAGAGAGCCTGTTTAAAAAATATAACAGGACTCAAGTCAACCCTTTTACTTTCTATAGTAATTGACAAGATCCTTTTCAAGTAGAATTTTGAAATGAATAGATAATAAATTGGTTATTATGAGTGGTTTTTAAAAAGGTAATGCTTGCAGATAATAGACCCTTTTTAATATACTAATGTGTCGATAAACCTAGAGGTTTTTATCCTATAACTGCCGCCTACTAATTTATTCAATAAATATTATATTTATTCGTCATAAACAAAACACTATCAGTTAAATAAAACACTACAGAAGGATTATTGCAAAATACATTATTGACGTGTTACTTTTCTTAAAATTCATAACTTATTTGACTATTTTTAACAGATCGAGGCCATTGACGAGCATTTACAATGGATAGTGCAAGAAAAATATGACTCTTTTATCTTAGTTATTGTGATACTAGCTTTCGCCCGCGACTCCGGCCGCGTGGAATTAAAGAAAAAAACAAAAGTGAATAGCCTATGTGTTCTTCCAGACTGTCCTCTACATCTAAGTCAAATTTAATTGAAATCGCTTCAGCCTCTTAGGCTACAAACATCCATCTATCCATCCATCTAAACTTTCGCCTTTATAATATTGATATGATTAAATACTTAATATAGCAAACTAAATACGGGTTAGCTTTAATAAAAATTGAATGTGGTTTAATGGCTATAAGCTATAACAATGGGGTATGAGTGCAACAGGGATGCCCCTCCGGCGTCAGGGTTGCCGTCGCAATGAACGAGGTGTCACCAACTAGTTTTATCAATGATGAATGGTACGCAACGTCGTGCGATAGCAAATGCACTCCGGAATTACATGGGAATATTTTGCGGTCGTGTTTTTGATTTTGCAACATTGAACCTACGCAACAAGCATTTTTATTTATAAATATTTTGTAAATAATAATTTTTCCTTAAATATGTTGCATTTATTTTCTAATTATATTAATTGACTACCTGTTACTCGCAGCTTCGTTTCTGTGAAATTAAATAAATGTAGCTTTTTTTAGTCAGTGATTTTAGAAATCGGTCCAGTAGTTTTTGAGTTATTTCAATATATACAAAAATACAAATCGTTTCCCTTTATAATATTAAGTATAGATTACATGACGGTAAAACGTAGGTATGTTACTTACATTCTATGTTTTTTTTTTTTTTTTAATTTAGAATTTGAATAATACAATACAAAATGTTATAAGGAACTTGATGTTTTCACACACCAAAACACACAAATCGATTCGACTTTAAGTAATGTAATTATCATTTGAATCACGGAAAATAGTCGGAATGCATTCATCCGATCGTAATTTGATTCAGTATCGTTTTTATTTAGGCTTAAATGCAATACCGCACAATCTGCCCACTTACGGCGTTAAGCGTTGCTCCACTTGCAAAAGGTAACATGAGGGGCGCTGTCTGCGCGGGAAAAGCTCCGCAATGGCTAAACTTTGCTACGGGAAAAGGAAGGACAACACTCCCCGCCTAGTATCGCGGCCTCCTGCTCATTCGCTTCCCGGCCGCCGTAGCGAGCGCACGTCTCCTCTGCTCCCAAACGCCCGCGTACGATCGCGCAAAAAACTTTTCGGTGCCGTTGCGAACTGTCTTTTGAACATCGTAAATTTAAAAAAAATGAACAAGACCTTTTTGTGGTGTGACTTTATCTGAGTGCGAAGAGACTTCTCGAGTGAAGGAGTGCTTCGGAGGCTAATTACAGGCTGCTAGGCTAATTGGTGGGGCCGGCGTTTCATGAAGGTGAGCCGACTTTTATTTCCGTTCGGCAATCCCTCTAATTGCGTCAATTAGTGTAATGCGGCGACAGCTTTGAAGCGGCCGCTTAATGATCTACACAGTTATACTCTATTCTGTTACAGACATTACTAATTTTAAATATAAATTTGAAGTTTCTCGAAGTTCGCAAATTAAAAGACAACAAAAACTTTTTCTTCAATTATTAAAAAAAATACTAATAAATTTTACTCTTAAAAGTAACAGTTTTAAACCATTTAAAGATTCTCATAAAAAAACACATTAAATATTCGTTCGAAAACATATAAAAACTCTTACATTATTGTATTCAGACTATTTTAAGAAACTATAGGAAAAATGTTCATAATTACCATAAAACTGTTAATAACGTTTGTAAATGCATTGTAATGAAAATATGCAATCCAAAGAAAATGCAACAAAGTGCATTGGGAATTTTAATTGGCATAATTGAGTCTATTCTGTTTATTCCGATCGATGTGTGGCTTTAATTATACAACTGCTGAATAATTAATTTAATATTATTAAATGGACTGTGTGGTGATAGGAATAGTGAATTAACTTCTAATGGAACTCTATTGGTTATTCAGTTGTCGGTTAACTCGTTGTTTGTAGACATTATTTTATTCTTTCTAACAATTTTCCCGTTGCCTAAGTCGATGTCTACGATATTATTTTTATTCCATTACATTGTTGCTTTTTCTGTATTTAAATGTAAAATGAGTTTTTTTTAATTTGTTAAGATTGGAATGGGTTATAATAAATCAAAAGTATTACTAAAAAAGTTTGTATGATTGAAAACATAAAGTATAACAGAAGAAAGCTTAATATAACTTGTTTAAAAAATTAAAAACATCTAAATCTTCTTTTAAATTGTCAATTAATTTGATATCTCCGCAAAGAAAACGTTAAATACCTAACATTTATAATTGACATTTGTTCAATACGTTTAGTAACGAATATTAAACAAGTTTGTTCTCGTTATAATAATATTTAAATTAGTCAATTAAAATTAAAAATAACCGCGTAGGCGTTATGATAAGACGTGATTCATTGTCTCTGTTGAATAGTTATTGATAAAGTTTCCGGCTTTGAAATCGCATTGACGATTGTTATTTTATTAAACATGTTCCCATTTCCGTTGTTTAATTGTATTGATAAAGCAAATGTTACATTAGAAGTCATTGTATTCAATTGAACTAAGTCTGTTGTGAAAATAAATGCCTATTGTAAGAATCTTGTTATTAAAAAATTTCTATTCAAAGCTTAATATAATAAGATTTTTTGCGTTAAAATCCTAATACGACATAATCGATTTGAAAGTGAACTAAAAGTTAAGATACCTCATACTACAATAAAATAAATCAAAATCGAGTAGCCTTTCAGACTTTGCGTTACATCTATGCCAAATTTCATCGAGATCCGTTCACCCATTAAGGCAGCAAACTGAAACAAACATCCATCCATCTAATCTCTCGTAATTTATAACATTGGGTATTTAAAATTATGTTAAAAGGATTGCTAGACAGTAGACGTAAGGATGTGAAAAAATGGGACAAGTTTCTAGAACATATCTACAGAGTTGTGATCAATGACAATCTTTAGTTATCTATTTAACAAACCTTAGTGTTTTTTATTGATGTTTCCAAGTCATAAGTTGGCTAAGTATCAAAAGAGCTAACGTGAAAAGAACGCTATTAATATTTAGTAATAAATTATAATTGTACACTTGCGTATGTACAATAAATAATGTTTAAACGTAATAGTATTAATTTATTGAAAACCTAATTAAAAATACGCATTCATTATAATATAATCAGAATGGAGAAAGATAATTTATGAGGTTTCAGGGAATTTAAATGCACCTTAGTTCAAGGAAACATTATAAGGAATTTCACACTAATAAATAGAAATAAAAATTAAATGTAATAAAACAGGAATGATAAAAAACTCGAGCTTGTAACCTTTGCGATTGCGAGTAATTTGAAAAAGTTTTTTAAAAATATTGACATAAATGATAACAAATAATATATACTAAGTAATAAAACTGCACAAATAATGCACTGTATCAAGTTGGCAGAATATAATCTGTGGCACAAAGTGACAGTTTTTTTACTCGTTTAAAAAGGTATGAGTATCGCGGGAGCGCGACACGGCTGTCCCAAAAGCTAATTAGAATCCCGTATCCGGCTTGTTTATTCTCTAATTAGCAAGTGGCTCATTAGAGCTACATCACTAGGCTAGAGAGAGCGGGCCAATGCTTCATTCGTTTTAATTATATACACTGCTTCTTGTGTCTTATAATTACCGAGCACAATTAAGGGACAACATTTTAATGCTTATCTTGTACATAATGGCTGTTTACAGACCGAATTAACGTTCGCTTCGGAAGCTTTATTTACTCCAGCTGTTTGAACTTCTTAATTTTTTTACTTGGATTTTGAAATACGAAAAAACAAATATAATCGTTTTATTTCACATATGAAATATATTATGTTTATTTTTTTTATGCAAACGCAAATCGTTTATCTTAAGATTTTTTTATATTATCTGATAGATACAATTTATTACTTTTTCCACTAGATTATGTGTCGTCGTATAGGCCTCGGATTTTCTTATATTAAATTAAAGATATTAGTGATTTTAATTGGCACAATACATCACTTTCATACCGGTTAGTGCGTTATGTTGTTGCTGTCAATTATAATATACTGTTTAGTCAGCCGTGTAGTCGATTGGACCGCGGAGGCCAAAATTTCCATGTAATCATTAATGATAACGTCTTCGCCGTTCAAGAGTAACCATTAAAAAATTATTAACTATAGAAAAAACATTAATTGCTTTTTAACAAAAAAAAATATATATAAAGATAGTGCGACCTTCTTGTATTAGGTATGCACATTGCCGCAAAAAGGGTACTTAATTTTGATTTGATATCACGGACTTGGTTTATTCCATTGAATTATGAAGCAGTTAGACTTCAAGTGCGAAATCGATTCCATTTCCGTATCGTTTTTAATTCTTTCGCGTTGCATTAGTTTCAACTCAATTTTGCAACAGTGTCCTATGTGCTTTAATATTCAATATTATCATCATATTTACGAGTGCTAGATATATGTTGAGGATAAATTTCAGTTTAGGATAGAATAAAGAAATCAGAGAACACGTTGATACAAGAGGTCTTGTATCAACGTGTTCTATTTTAATGGATAAAAGGTTTTTATGCATTAAAATAGTAGTTTCTTGTTATATTGTGATTAATCAGTTTTTTCTCATTATGATATTAGCATATTCTATCGGTATAAAGATAACAATAGCTGACACAACATGGAGCAGGTTGATGCATTTGCATTAATTAATTTTAGCTAATTAATAACCTGCTTTAATTAACGAGGCTGTTAGGACAATTTAATCAGAGCTGATTGGTCCAGCGGTAGAGTGACACCGCCCGGCGTGAGGTTTCACCTGCTATTATTAGGTTTCGTTTAATTATGAATTTATGATATACATTTGCGAAAATCAATTTATTGTGTTACTTCGTTAATCTATAAATTATTTTATACGGAGGTGGGTAAATGACATTAAAAACTATATGTCAACTAGCTTTCGCCCGCTAATCCGTACGCGTGGGATTAAAAAAAACAGAAGTGAGTAGCCTATGTGTAATTCCAGACTATCCTCTACATCTATACCAAATTTCATCTAAATCGTTTCAGCCATCTAGGCTACAAACTCTAACTAACATCATTAATAAGATTGTTTTTTTGTAGGCAGTGATAAAATGCACAAAAGATTAGCGTGGTATGGACATGTTATGCGACGAAACGAATGAGGACACAAACCAGAAAGTGTTAAGATTGCATGTGGATGTCTACAAAGGATGAGGAAGACCAAAGAAAGTATGGATGGATTGTATGAAAGAGGATATGCTTAAGAAAGGAGTGGTTTCAGATATGACGGCTGATAGAGATGTATGGAAGAGCAGCACATACTGTGCCGACCTTCCGTAAGGGATAAGGGCAAGTGGATGATGAGTGATTAAATGCACAAATGTATAAAAGAAGTAAATGTATCCTAATGATCAGAAAAAGAAGAGACGAATAAGAAAGTAATGTAGTAAAGATTTAAACTTTCGTGGATTAGGTTTATAGAGTCAATATTCTAAAGACCTCAGGAACTCCAGCGTTATAAGAGTACCGTTTATTTCAAACTATTATAAATAAAAGCATTTTTATAAATTCCGAAACATTTGTCATTTTAACTGTAATGCCAGTTGAATTAGGGGTCATTGTTTCTTAACAAATGCTTCTGATAGTATTAAAACTTCATAATGTATATAGTTTTTTAACTAGTAGTGATGTAAGGTTTTGCAGACACACGGGCAAAGGGCGCACTAATTGCTCCCCTACCC